TTAGAAGTAGCTGTTTAAATATCTCCCTTGGTAGTAGATACCAAGGGGCAGAGAGTCAAGTGAAACTGCAGAGAGAAAAGAGCCAAAGATAAATACACAGGGAAAGCCTGCATTCCATAGGGATAAGGAGGAAATGGAACCAATGAAAGACAGATAAGGGAAAGTAAAAGAGATAACAATGATAAAGTCTGATATTAATATCATACTTCACGTGTATTATCTCATTTGATCCTTGCAATTCTGCAAGAATAATTTTTTTTAATGGGAAAACATATTTGGAAATGTTGAGTGACTTGCCTATTCTGACATAATTAGTAAGTGCTGGAAGTAAAATACAACCCTCCTGACTTCAATTCTAATATTTTACCTATTAAACCATGAAAGTAGGAGAAGGGAAAGGGAATAAGCATATATATTACCTATTATGTGCCAGGCACTGTGTTAAGCACTTTTACAAGTATCTCATTTGATTCACACAACAAAGGGACAGCTAGGTGGTGCAGTGGCTAAAGCACTGGCCCTGGAGTCAGGAGGACCTGACTTCAAATCCGGCCTCAGACACATAACACTCACTAGAGTCACACAGACCCTGGGCAAGTCACTTAACCCCAATTGCCTCACAAAAAAAAAAAAAAAGAGAGAGAAAGAGAGAGACATTCACACAACAACCCTCCAAGGTGGTTTCTATTATTATTCCCAATTTCTAGTTGAGGAAACTAAGGCAAACAGAAGTTAAATGACTTGCCCAGGGTCACACAACTAGTAATTGTCTGAGACTAGATTTGAACTCAGGTCTTCCTGACTTCCTAACAGATCCAGCACTCTAAATACTGTGCTACCAGCTACTTCTCTAGGAGAAAAAGTATCTGTAGTGTCAGAAAGTCAAAGAGAGAGAAAAGTTTCCAGAAAGGAATGATATCAAAGAAAACATACCCCAAGCATCCAGGAAGAAGCAAAGAACTACAATTTGAGAACCAGTGTATTACAATCAAGATCACAGAAGATCTGGCAGCTTCTCCTATAAATGAAAAGACAGCCTGTAATACTAGACAAAAGGCAAAAATACTCTTCCAAACTGAGTATATAAGTGGGAAAATGGATTTGCAAAGTAATAGAAGACTTTTAAGCAGTTCTAGTGAAAAGACTAGAACTGAATAGGAACTTTGAAATACAAATGCAAGAGTACAAAGAAATCTAGAAAAATAAATATATTTGAGATATTGGAAGGAGATCTATAATGATGTGGATGAGGAAACAAGTGTCATTCCAGAACTTTAATCTCTTCAGAAGGTATTGAAGGAGTTAAATAAGAAAAACAGAAGTCCTGGAAGTGAACTGGTTTTGTTCTGTGGATTTTAAGGGGGGAAAAGAGGATAAAAGGAATATACTGTTAGGAAGAAGGAGGTAGGATTTACTATTTCTCAAAATTATTCTGTCTGCTATTTCTCATAAAAAAATTCATAAAAAAATTTGTTGTTGTTTAGTCATTTCTGACTCTTCATGACCCCATTTGGGGTTTTCTTGGCAAAGATACTCGTGTGGTTTGCCATTTCCTTCTCCAGCTCATTTTAGAGATGAGGAACTTAAGCAGAAAGGGTTAAGTGATTTGAAATGGACAAAGGAGGGTTGGAAACACATACCAGTTTGGTGTAGTAATACATTAAACTCAATGGGGAAACAAGCAGAGGTGGGGGCAGGGCAAGTGAGAGGATAATACCAAGGAGGGAGAGAAAAAGAAAAGCAACAAACTAAAATCTAAGGAAATGCCTAGATTATTCCTTAGACAATTGGAGAATAGCTGAACAAATTGTGGTGTAAGAATGTAGTGGAATATTATTGCACCATGAAGAATAACAAAACAAAAAAAAAATTCAGAGAACACTGGGTGCCATAAACTAACACAGAGGAAAGCGATCAGAACCAAAAGAACGATTTATGCAAGAATAGCAACATTGTAAAGATTTTTAAAAAAAATTTTAAACTGAAAGATCTAAGAACTCTGATCAAGTCAGCGACCAATTATCAGAGGATTCATGTCACCTATCTCTTGACATGGAGGAGACTAACACAAGGTTCAGAAACACGCATTTTTAGGTGTGGCCACTGCATGGTTTCATTTTGCTTGACTAAGCTTATTTGTTTCAAAAGTTTTTTTTTTCTTGTCAGTTTTTAATGGGGAAGGAGGATCAAGGGAGATTAGCTAGCAGTAGCAATGTACGAAAGAGAAGACCAATGTAACATTTATTTAATGCAAGGAAGAAAAGAGAAGGAAAACCCAAGCAGAGCAATTTTGAAAGTAATATATAGCATTGATTATATACTTTTTTAAAAGTAAGTGGTATAAAGTGGAGATTAACACTTTTATATAGAATCTTTTTATATTCTGCTATGATCCTTTTTAAATTTTATCTTCAGAATTTTTTTGTAAAGTAGTCAACATTTTCAAATGCCACAGGTGTCAAAGACAATGTTATCTGCAAATTTAAAAGAAGGAACATTGAACTTGGCAAACAGGAAGTCACTGATGAAATTCAGAAAATAATTTTTATAAGTTGATATGGATTTCTTGCTTCTGTCATATTTACAAGGTGTTAAGAAGTGAATGAATAATAAAGCAGAAGTACCAAGTTTAGCATATGCATTCAAGAAGTTTGAAGGCAAAATTAAGTGGAAAAGTATTGCAATAGCTACTTTGGGGCATTAGTGAAGGCTAATTTTAAAAGAAGGTGAGGGGTTGGGAAGAAAGTGATTCTTAAACTGAAAATTCTTATTTAGCATACGGAAGAAAAGATAAACAACTCAACATTTTAAAAAAAGAAAAATTACAACAGTAAAAGGAGAACTCAAGGATATGTCTTTGGTGTGGGGTTAATTAAGATTTTTTCATTACATAGTAAAATGAGTTTTATCTATTTTTAGTGTGTACACAATGTTGGTGGTAGGGAATCTCTGTGTGTTAGTACAAGGAGAAACATTGGTCTTCAAACAAAATAGTACTTTGTTCAGGTAATTTTTTGAAAGTAATATATTGTAACATAGTGGGGGAAATTTTACAATTGTGACTTTGAATATTAGTGGGCTAAATTCACCAGAGAGAAAGAGAGAGAGAGAGAGAGAGAGAGAGAGAGAGAGAGAGAGAGAGAGAGAGAGAGAGAGAGCACAAAATGCAGAATGCATTAGAAAACAAAATGCAACAATTTGTTGTTTACAAGAAAACTATCTGAAGTGTAGGGATTCACACATTTAAAGTGGAGGGCTAGAACTGACTCAAGTTAATAAAAAACAGGAATTGAAACCACTACATTATGATTAGCATTACCATTGATAATAAAACAATTTCAATATTAAGCACATACATACCTTATGGCATAGCAAACAAGATCTTAAAAGAAAAGTAAACAGAATGAAAAAAAGACCTAGCTAGCAAGACACTAATTTTAAGTTATATTCCTTTGTTAGATCTTCACAAATCCAAAAGAATAATAAGCAAAAAAGAAAATAATATATATGAACAAAGTATTGGGATAGGTTTGATATAGAAACTTCTGTGTGAGTATCTTATGAAATACATATATTTCTCTGGAATCCATGAGACTTTACAAAAATTTACAAAAACTGATCATGTGCTAGGGTACAAAGAACTCAAATGTAGGGAGAAAGGGAGAAATTTTAACTATATCCTCAGAATCAATAAAGGGAATAAACAAAATATACAGACCTTAATGAATAATAAAGACCCATGAAAATATAATAAATTATATTAAAGGAAATGATATGGTTGAAACAAGACAAAATATACATATATAATAATATGTACATAGAATATTTACATAAAAATATTATGTACAAAAAAGTATAAAATGTACATATAATACATATAATTATATACAATATATATATGCATATATATGTATATCCCTGAACACCTGTAGCAACAAAAGAGAAAAAAAAGTGGACTGATAAATTGAGTATGCAATTAAAAAATTAGAAAAATCACAAATAATCCCAAAATGAGAGCAAATAATTTTGAAAAACAAATATCAGATCAACAGAGTTAAATCCACATACACAATGGAACTAATAAAACAAACAGAAGGTTTGTTGAAAAACCTAACATTATTATTTGGGGGGTGGGGTAGGGTTAAGTGACTTGCCCAGAGTCACACAGCTAGTAAGTGTTATGTGCCTGAAAACTTAACATTACTGATAAGCCACTAATGTGTTTTTTAAATGAAAATAAAATTGAAAAATGAAAAGGGAATATATAACAAATTATAGGAAATCAAGGAAAGCAAGGATAATATATCAAATTATATTGCAAATTTAATATAATGTAATATAGTGCAATATAACATAACATAACATGACATGACATAATGTGACATAATATCATGCAATACAATATATCAAATTATATTGCAAAATTAACTTAATTATCCAATCCAGGTCAATATTCCACTTCCAAACAATGACTCACTCAGAGCCTGAAGGTTCAAACAAGCAGTCTTTTTACTAAAAACATATTCTAATGCCTCCAGATAAAAGCAGTTTCTGAGATGGCTAAAAGAGGTATGAAAACTAAAAACAGAAGGAAAAAAAAAAAGAATCTGCCTACAAGGATATAAAAAGCAGTTGGCAAGTAGATTTTCTGGGTCACAGTAAGGGGCCTATTAACTCATACCTGTCCAGTTCCATCAATATCCTGATCTACAACAGACACCAATTTTCTCCCTGAAACAAAAGTCTTTTTTTTTTTAATATAAATATTTTTCCAGTGATGTTGTGTGACCATGAGCATGGAATGGTAAAATTCCAAAGAATCATTCCAAAGAATCAAACTGAGAATCATACAAAGGGCAAAGGAAAAATAATTGGTGCAAATAAACCAACTTCTAACACATTACAAACATTGAATTAAGAAGCAGTGTCAGGATGTCATCAAAGAAATGTATGACTGAAAAAGAAGATGAGTTAGTCAAATAACAAGGGCAAGATATTACCAGTGAATGGCATGCTTGTTCCATTGATGTCTCACAGTGTTAAGAAGGCATTAGGAAGCTCCCTCCTTTCTCTTCCATCATACACGCTGGGTAAACCACCCGTGGTAAATATATGAGAGATCATGGACAAGAGTCATATGCAGTAGGAAGGCCCTTATAGATTGTAATTTGCATCTACAGAGGAAATACCCACATCAGATCACAGAGAACATTGAAATATTGGAGTATGGCAACAAAACTGAAAAAAACACATGAATATCTACAAAATAACAAAATAGGAAAGGGATAAATGAAATAATATGATCTTGAAAAAATTAATTGAGCAAGTCATAAATGAACTCCTACAGAAGGAAAAAAAACTACCTCTAGGTCCACATGGATTTAAAAGTGAAAATAAGGACGTTGCAGAAAGTATCTAGAGAGCAGATCCGAGAATAGATACTTTGGAAGCATGACGAATACAGAGAAAAGAGAAAGACCAAATAATTACAGGCATCATGAGTCAAAGAATGAAAGTCTAGAATAAACAGAAAGAGAAAGATGGCTAATGAAGAGAGTGAGAGAAATCCGTTTTGGGAAGGGACATACACACACAAAAGAAATTGAAAATTTAAGGAATAGGACTAGCTGAAGGGGAAGAAAGAAAGTGATATATCAAATAAGAATTGGGGATCAGGAGTAAAGGAAGAGAACCAGTGGCAACAGGGCCACCTTAAAAAGTTAGAGTCACGTAACTAGAGGAACATAATACTGTGTTTATTGCAGAAAAGGGAACTTGAAACTGAAAGGCTTTCACGTAGACAACATTAAGGCATCTAGGACAAGAAGAGAAGTAGACAAATGGGAAAAGAAAACATTTTTCATATTAAATAAAATGAGGAGCTGGTTTTATTTAAAAATAAACAAATAAACCATTGGTTAATTTCATTTTTAACAAAAGAAAGAAGAAAACCAAATTATCAGTATGAAAAATGAAAAAGGTGAATGCACCGTGAATGAAAATGAAATTAAAATAATTATTAGAAGCTATTTTGCACAATTATATTCAAATAAAATTGACAATATAAATCAAATGGATGAATAATTATGAAAATATGTTGCCCAGATTAAAAGAAGAGGAAATAGAATATTTAAATAACTGTATCTTAGAAAAAAGAAATTGAACAAGCTAAGAAAAAATCCCCAGGACCAAATGGATTTACAAGTGAATTCTACCAAACAATTACAGAAAAAATAATTCCAATGCTATATAAACTATTTGAAAAAATTGATAAAGAAGGAGTCCTACCAAATTCCTTCTATGACATAAATATGGTTTTGACATCTAAACCAGAGAGAGCAAAAGCAGAGAAAGAAAACTATAGGACAATTTCCCTAAGGAAAATTGATCCAAAAATTTCAAATTAACTATCAGCAAGGAGATTACAGCAACATATCACAAAGATCATACACTATTACCAGGTGAGAGTTATACCAAGAATGCAGGACTAGTTTAATATTAGGAAAACTATAAGCATAATTGACCATTAACAATGACAAAAACAAGAAAAATCACATGATCATATCAATAGGTACAAAAAAAGCTTTTGACAAAATACAATTCCTATTCCTATTTAAAAAATACTACAAAGCATAGAAATGAATTGAACCTTTATTAAAATAAGTATTATTTATCTAAAATCAAGAGCAAGCATTATCTTTAACAGGGATAAATGAAAAGCCTACCTGTTAAGATCATAGGTAAAGCAAGGATGTCCATTATCATCACTATTATTCAATATTGTGCTAGAAATGCTGGCTATAGCAATTAGACAAGAATAACAAAATGAAATTTTCTACATGAGATGACGTTAGAAAACCATAGAGAATCAACTAAAAAACTACTTGAAACAATTAATAACTTTAGAAAAAATTGCTGGAAGTAAAATAAACCCACATAAATCATCTTTATGGAAGAGATAAAAAGAGAAATTCCACTTAAAATAAATGCAGACAATGTAAAATACTTGGGAATCTACCTACCAAGACCAACATAGCAACAACACTTTTCACAAAAATAAAGACATCTTAAAAAGTGGAGCAATATTAATTCCTCATGAGCAGGCTAAGCCAATATAATAAAAATGATAATTCTGCCTAAATTAATTTACTTTTTCAGCAACATACCAGTCGAACTACCAAAGAATTCTTTTATAATGCTAGAAAAAAAGAATAACAAAATTCATATGGAAGAAGAACAAAAAGGTCAAGAATTTAAAGAGAATCAATGGGGGAAAAAAATGTGAAATGCAGCCTACCAGTCCCAGGCTTCAAGCTACATTAAAAACTAGTTAGTAATCATGAAAACAATCTGGTACTGTCCAAGGAAGAGCGTGGATCAGTGGATAAGGATCAGTCGAATAAATTAGATTTGCAATCTACAGTGGCAAATCACCATGGCAATCTAATGTTTGATAAACCCAAAGATTTGAGCTTTGGGGACAAGAACTTACTGTTTGACTAGGAAAAGTAGAAAGCAGTATGGCAGAAACTAGGCAAAGACCAGTATCTCACAACATAAGTTACACACAAGATAAGTTTAAAATGGCTACATGATTTAGACATAAAGGGTTCTATCACAAGCAAATTATAATATATGATATGATATGATATGAACATAATATAATATCATAAGAAAAAAAGAAAAATTTACCTGTCAGATCTATGCATAAGGGAAAAGTTTATGACCAAAGAAGAGATAGAGAGCATCATGGGAAGTAAAATGAATAATTTTTATTACATTAAATTAAAAAGGTTTTTCACAAACAAAATCAATAAAGCCAAAATTAAAAGGAAAGCAGCAAAATGAGAGGAAATTATACAGCAATTTTCTCTGATAAGGATCTCATTTCTCAAATTTATAGGGAACTGAGCCAAATTCATAAAAGCAAGAACCATTCCCCAATTGATAAATGGTCAAAGGATATGAAGAGGTGTTTTCCAAGAAGAAGAAATCAAAACTATCAATAATCACATGAAAAAATGCTCTACATTAGAGAAGTGCAAATTAAACAAACAACTTTGAGGTACCACCTCACACCTATAAGATTGGTTAATATGACAGAAAAGGAAAATAATAAATGCTGAAGGGGATGTAGAGAAATAGGTACAATAATGCACAATTGATGGAATTGTGAACTGGCACAATCATTCTGGTGAACAATTTGGAACTATGCCCAAAGGGCTATAAAACTGTGCATACCCTTTGACCCAGCAATATCACTACTAGGTTGTATCCCAAAAAAAATCAGAGAAAAGGGAAAAAACCTATATGCACAAAAATATTATAGCAGCTCTTTTTTTTTTTGGTGGCAGAAGATTAGAAATTGAAGGGAAGCCCAACAAATTAGGGAATTACTGAGCAAGCTGCAGTGTAAGACTGTAATCGAACACTACTGTGGTATAAGAAATGATGAGCAGGATGATTTTGGAAAACCTTGGGAAGACACACGAAGTGATGTATAGTGAAACGAGCAGAAAAAGAACACTATACACATTAATAGCATGATTGTAAGGATGATCAACTGTAAAAGACTTAGTTACTCTGATTAAGACAATGATCCAAGACAATTCCAAAGGACTTAATGAAAAATGGTATCCAGCTCCAAAGAGAGGACTGATGAAGTCTGAGTGAAGATAGAAGCATACTTTTTTCACTTCATTTTTCTTGCTTTTTTTCGTTTGTTTTCTGCAACATGGCTAATATGGAAGTATGTTTTGCATGATTTCACATGTATTGTATTACTTGCCTTCTCCTTTAAAAAAATTTTTTTTTGTTACGTTTGAGTTCCAACCTGTTATCTCCCTGCCTCCTAATCCTACACTAGAGGCCAACATTTGACACAGATATATATGTGGAACTATGTAATACATAGTTCCATATATCATTTCTTTTTCTGGAGGTGGATAGCATCTTCATTCATAGCTCCTTTGTAGTTGATTTGAATATTCATATAACTCAGAATAGTTTAGTCATTTGCATTTACCCTTTGAACAATATTGCTGTTACTATATACAATGCTCATGCAAGTCTTTCAATGTTTTCCTAAAATAAACCTGCTTATCATTTCTTATAACACAGTAGTATTCTATCACAATCTTGTGCCACAACCTATTCAGCCATTCCCCAATTGATAAGCATCTCCCCAATTTCTAGTTCTTTGCCAGCACAAAGAGAGCTACTATAAATATTTTAAAATATATGGGTCTTTTTTCTTTTTCCCTGATCACCTGTGGAAACAGACCTAATAGCAGTATTGCTGGGCCAAAGGGTATACACAGTTTTATAGCCCTTTGGGCACAGTTCCAAATTGCTCACAAGAATGGGTAGATAGATCAATTCACAACTCTACCAACAATGAAGTAGTGTTCCAGTTTTCTCACATCTTCTCCAACATTTATCATTTTCCTTTTTTGTCATATTAGCCAGTCTGATAGGTGTGAGGTGGTACCTTAGAGTTGTTTTAATCTGAATTTCTTCAATCAATGGTAATTTAGAGCATTTTTTCATGTGACTGTATATAGCTTTAATTTTTTCATCTGAAAACTGCCTGTTCATATCCTTTCACCATTTATCAATTGGGGAATGACTTGTATTCTTATAAATTTGACTCATTTCTCTATGTGTTTTAAAATTGATGCCTTTATCAGAAACACTAGCTGTAAAAAATTGTTTCCCAGCTTTCTGCTTTCCTTCTAATCTTGATTGTATTGGCTTTGTTTGCACAAAACCTTCTTAATTTAATGTAATAAAAATTATCCATTTTGCATTTCATAATGTTCTCTATCTCTCGTTTGGTCATAAATTCTTCCCTTCTCCCTAGATCTGACAGTTAAACTATTCCTTGCTCTCCTAATTTGCTTATGGTATCACCCTTTATGTCTAAATCATGTACCTATTTTGACTTTATTTTGGTAAATAGTGTAAGATGTTGGTCTGTACCTAATTTCTGCCAGACTGCTTTCCAGTTTTCCCAGCAATCTTTAGCCAAACAGTAAATTCTTTTTTTAAATTTTTTTCTTTGTTAATTTATTTTTAGTTTTCAACATTCACTTCCACAAGATTTTGAGTTACAAATCTTCTCCCCATCTCTCCTCTCCCCCCACTCCAAGACGGTGTGCATTCTGAATACTCCATCTGCCAATCTGCCCTCCCTTCTATCTCCCCACCCATTTCT